GCGCATGCCAAGCGCCCGCCCCGGCCAGGGAGAGCAGGGCTCCTCGGGGCGGCTACTAGGTCTCCAGACGGTTTGCTGGAGGAGCCGTGTGGCCCAGCTGTCCAGGAGCTTCAGCGTTTGCAGCCTTGACCAGCGCCGACAGCCGCTGCGGGGACGCTTCTTGCAGCGTCAGGATCCATTTGGGCCGGCAGCTCCGGGGGCAGCTCCTGCGCGGGTGCCGTGCGTCCCCGGGCTCCAGCACACCCTGCTCGCGCCGGCGGCAGTCTCCCCCCATGCTGACACGAGCGGCCGCCTGTCCCGGGAGGGTGCAGGCACGTCTGAGGGGCTGGCTGGGGAGCGCCTCAGGCACCGCTTTGACCTGGGCTTTGGTGGTGACCTTCTGGGGTTTGCGCCGTAGTATGGGGCAAGCGCGGTGCAGGTCACCGTCCTGGACAGACTGAGCTCAGTGGCCCTCGGCTCGGCCACGAGAGGAAGCTTTGTGCCTCTCTCATGGGGGAGGAGCACCAGGGCCAGGCTGGCGGAGGCGCCGAGTACCATAGGGGCAGGCTGGAGGTGCAGGGTCAAGTGTGGGCACCACAGACGCCCGACCAGCCAGAGCCCGTCGGACTATCTGCTCCAGAGGCCTCACCGTGCACAGAGCGGGGCTGATGACCCGCGGCTCCGGCATAGGGCTGAGAGGGGCTGGGAAGAGCCAGGCTTGACTGCCAGGAGGCCCTGGGGGCCCCTCGCGACTCCCTCCGCGTGTCGCAGAGCCGACCTGCCCGCAGACCAGCAGCTGCTGCGCTGCCGTGCGCGGCTGGCTTTGTTCCCCGGGGCTCACGTACAGTTACGTCTTACCTGGACCGGGCGGCTGGGCGCAACCCAAAGGTCGGATACACGCGTGTGCAGGCGTCTGCTGAGTCTGTGCAAACCGACTGGTTAGGATGAAACAGGCGCTTGCTGTGGGGGGCCTCTGGCCATGCAGACTGGTGCGTGGAGGTTGGTTCCCCCGTCCTGGGTAGCGCTGGGCCAGTCGTGCTGGGCACTGGGCCGGACCCGGCACCGCCTGCCCCTGCGCTGCGCAACACGGCCGCGTGCCTGGCTCTGGGCTGGCGGGCTGCTCTGGGGCAGGCAGCAAGTCCGTGGCCGAGCAGGAGGAGAGCTGGCACCGTGCTTGGCCCCTGCTCGGACATCCTCTGGGCCATGGCTGTGCACCGGGTCTGCCCCCCGCAGCAATGCTCCCAGCCCTGTTCTGCCGCAGTCGTGGCCCGCCCCTTCCAGCTGTGCTCCCGTGATGCTCTCCAGGCCTGTGTGTACACAAGTGCTTCCAGATGTGCACATCTCCCAAGTGTCAAAGGCGCTGCATGGGCTCCAGCCCTCTGTGGAGCAGGCAGGGGCCACGTACCTCCGTCAGGTGGGAAGGGCAGAGAGGCCAAGCAGAGAGGAGCCATGTACAAGCCCGCCTGAGCCGCGGCCCTGCCTGGCTCAGCAGGGGGAGGAAGGCGTCCTTAGCACGAGCCTCGGCCTCTCCAGCACAGAGTGTGGCTCCAGCAGCCAGGGACCGGCCCTGCGTTGCGGGCTCGGGGGCAAAGGGGGATTCACAACCAGGGCCGTGGTGGGGGCTGCAGCACGCAGGGGAGTGCTGACCACCGCGAGCTGCTGGAGCGGGGCACCCGCTCCCTCCCAGCATCCCAGTGTCACCCACGGGTCATTTGCAGGGCACCGTACGGCCATCCCCCAGATGCATCCTGCCGCCTTGTCGCCTGCGAAGCCAAGGAGGCGTGGGACGCTGGCACGGTGCGCAGCGCCCTGGCGCGTGACGCTCTCGAGAATCAGAAACCTGGCTCTCGTCAGCAGCGAGCGCTGGAGCTGAGCACTGTCAGGGCCCGCCGGCCGGGGACTGCACAGCCCAGACACGCTCCATCACGAGAGGGGCCATTTCCACTGCGGCCCGCACTGGAGCAGCCCTGTGGGTCCTGCCCACGTGGGGAATGGGACCACGTGTCCAGCACTTGGGCCAAGCGAGGCTCCATCCGGCCGTGGTCCTAGGGCTGCAACAGGCGCCTCGGGTAAGGGGCCAGCAAGGGCAAGGGACTTCCCCACGGGTGTAAGAGAGCTCAGCCCCTGGCCCCGGCTGCAGCGGGCGTGCGTGCAGCCCCGCAGCCCTCCCCCGGCCTCCGCTTGCACCCGGTGCCGCGGGCTGCAGGGAAGGGGCGGCAGGTCCTGGTGCAGACAGGGCCCCGAGCCCGCAGCAGCGCGTGGCAGACCCTGGCAGCCTGGCCCCCCGCGCTCACTCGCGCAGCCCGTTCCCCTGCTTGACGGCTCCCTGCTCCAAGCCAGGCCTGGCTGGGCCTCTCTGGGGGAGCTGCGGCCTGGATCGCCTCCCGCTTCCCCCCCCGCTCAGCCTTGCGAAATCCCCCTGCCCACGGCCTCCCCGTGAACCTCCGTCCCCACCATCCAAGGCCGGTTTCCTGATGGAGCCGAGCCCAGGCCTTAATCCCCGCTGGGCCCTTCCGCCCTTCGGCGCGGCTCGATGCAAAACACGGAGCTCCCGTCTCCGGACGTGCGCAGGGAAGGGGTCTGGGGTGGCCCAGCGCCCAGCCATGCTCGCCAGGCGGCACAGGGCTCAGTCTCCCGGGCTGGAGCACTGCACCGCGGGGCAGCTGAAACCCCCTCAGGCAGAGCGCTGCGCCAGGCTGCCGGCAGCCGTGCCACGGGGCAGCGGGGAGGCAGCCCCCGGCCCCCAGCTGGGGATGCAGGGAACACGTGGGCGAGCTACAGGAGTGGAAAGCCCTTTATTACACCGCCGCTGTGGCTGGCAGGAGCCCGACAGCGGGGCCGCAGGCCGGCTCCAGCAGCGCTCCCCGCACGGCCTTCCCGCTGCCAGGCTGCTCTCAGCATCTGCCGCGTCGGCGGGGGGCAACACTACCCCGGAGACGTGGGTGAAGGCAGGGGGGGCTGGGGGCGTTTTGCCACGGGATCCCGGCAGGGATGAGGCGCCGGACGCTCAGCGCAGAGCCTGCAGGTGGGCAGAGGTCCCCGGCCAGGCCCAGCCCCTCAGACCTCCGTTTTCTTCTTCATCTCCATGCGGTAGATGATCTGGTAGCCGTCGTCCCAGGCGTAGATGTGCCTCTCCTTGGGGTTGTACTTCATGCTGGAGTGGGAGCCGTAGCGCTTGGGGAAGTAGACCAGGGAGGCGTCCTCCGAACTCAGGGTGCCGCTGACGTCGAAGACGCACTGCACGCGGGAGCGGCTGGGCAGCCGCGTGTTGTACACCACGTAGAGGGTCCCGCACACCACGAAGGCGCTCTCGGCATTCTCCCGGGGGCACGGCGTGTCCCACATCTGCTCGATGTCCAGCGAGCGGGGGTCCAGCTTGGCCAAGCAGATGTTCTTCTCATTCTCCTTCGTGGCGTAGATGGCCCAGAGCCCCTCCTCGTCGGCCACCACGTCGATGTAGTTGAAGGCAGAGAGGCCAAACACGGGGATCTGCTCCTCGGCCGGGAACACGGAGCTGTCCACAATGGTCTTGTTGGCCAGGTTGAACTTGATGACCTGGAAGGTGCCGTGCTGCCGGATGTAGTAGAGGTGCCCGCCGTACACCAGGTGCCCCGTGCCCACCCAGGGGTGCGGCAGCTTGATCCGTGCCGCCTTGCGCGTGGCGGAGAAGAGCGTGAACTCCCTCATGCGGGGGAACACGTAGACCGTGTCGTTGGCTGTGCCGTCAAAGACGTAGATCTTCTCCGAGGTCCCCACGGGATCCTTGGTCCAGAGCCCGGCAGTGCTGCCGAACCGCTTCAGGATCTTCATGGCCTTGACCTGGGAGATGGTGTCGCTGCAGTCTGCAAGAGTACAGGGAGCCCTGAGGCACGGCCTGCCCGTGGCCCCATATGCGCACAGAGGGCAGTCGCGATCTCCCAGCAGGGAAGCCCGCCGGGGTGAGCGGCTGGTTGTAGCAGAGGAGCTGCGGGCACGGGGCCCCGCGGACCCTGTGCTTCTCCCGCCAGCGGCTTGCTAACCAGGGGCTCGCACCCACTCGCTGCCCCAGTGGCTCTGCCAACAGGACCTTGGGGCAGAGCCGTGGCAGCGGGGCAGTCTGGGCGCTATACCGCGTCATGGGCAGGAGGCAGGCCCAAGCGCGGGGCGGATGGCAAGCACTGCGATGGCAGCATGATGCAGCAGGGATCAGGGCCCTGCAGTCCCTGCCCCAAGCCGCTTGCCCCCAAGCCCGGCTCACCTGTCAGCTTGTCGTACTTCTCATTCTTCCGCTGCTTGGCCGTGGCCACCTGGTTCTCCACCAGCTTCTCGTCCACCTCCACGCAGGGCGGCGCGGGGTTCTGTGTCTCGAGGTAGTCCACCTCGCGCTCCAGGCGCTCCACGCGCACCGCCGTCGTCTCCACCTCGGTGTGCAACCGCTCCCGCTCCTTCTCCATGTTCTCCATCATGGTGATCACCTGGTTCTTGAAGTCGCGCAGCTCAGTGGAGTAGCGGCTGCTCTGGTCGTGCCACTGCGCGATCCGCTCCTGGGGGTAGTGGGGGACACATTGGACCCCTGCTGCCCACAGTACCCCCGCGATGCCACCAGCACCAGAGTTGCAACCCCCTGCCCCTGCAGCCCCCACGTGCATTCCCCTGCGACCGGGTCCTGGCAGGAGCGCGGCAGCGTGAAGCTGCCCTGCAGCGCGTGCTCTGCCCTGTGGAGCCGGGTCCGCGGGCAGGTGCAGGGCAGGGCAGCATCACCCCGGGGCGCGCACCTCTAGCACGGCCAGCCGCCTCTCCATGTACTCCATGAACTGCTGCTGCTGGGCATCCAGCGCACCCGCCAGGAGCGCGCCGAGGAGCAGGCAGAGCCGGGGCGCCATGGCCGGGCCAGGCAGCATCTGCGCAGCCCCAGCTCAGCGCTCTGGAATGCTTGGACAGTCGCGGGGGGAGGGACGCGGCCGCCTTCCCTGCTGATCGAATCCAGATGGCTCCAGCGTGGGCCCAGCACCAAGCACCTTAACCCCTTCCTGCTCAGGGCGCGGGGCAGGTCATGCTGCTGCGCAGCCCCGGGGAGTGGGCCAGCTCCACGGGGTTCAGGTGCAGCACGTGCCCAGGGCTTGGGGACCGGCTGGGCACAGAGCGCAGTGCTCCCCATGGGCCTCAGCTCTGCTGCGGGCTTGCTGAGCAGCCCTGGCACAGGCTCCAATGCCCCTGCACCCGGGGCTCCAGAGCGATGCCGTCCCCGCGCTGCCCAAGCTCAGGCGGGAGAGGGGGTGTTCATGCCCGCTGGTTGCCATGAGGGGCTCAGGCTCCTGGGAGGGCACGTGCTGTGGCGGGTGCTCCGGGGACTCGGCAAGCCTGCCCAAGCCAGGGCCTGTGTGCTGGGCGGATGGTGCACACACAGGCAGCCCCAGCCCGAGGAGTCGGGCCTGGGCACAGGCAGGCAGAGGCCAGGACAGGACGGAGGTGAGGGGTCACAGGTCAGAAGCAGCACCGAGAGCCCAGGCTGCCCCAGGCCCAGCCCTGGCGCAGGGGCTGCCAGTGCGACACGGCTCCTTGTGAGGATGGGCCTGACCCCATGGCTAGCTGCCCCAGCCCCTCAGCATCGCCAGCGGGCCCTGCAGTGCCTGGACGAGGTGCCAGCACCCGCAGGCTTTGCAGGAAGAGGCAGGCGGGTTCCTCCCCGGGCTGGTTTCCAGCTCCCCGCCTCCCTGAGAGGAGCTAAACACAACCAGGTGTGCGAACACAGCGGGTGGGGGGTGGCTGAGGCGCCGGGAACAGAGGGGAGCTGGCGTGGGCCAGGGTCTCGGCTTGACAGCCAGGCCCCGCGCCAGCAGCCCCTCTCAGCACAGCGCGTTGGCAGGGCAGGCGCAGCGTGGTGGGAGGGAGCCCAGCGAGCTGTGTGTGCCTGCACGGGCCTGGGCCACGGGGAGGAGGCATGACAGCGCGTTGGTGCCTGGCCCGTGGCAGCCGCCCCTGCCTCGTGGTCCACAGCAGCAAAGCCCAGCAGAGGCAACCGTCTGCCTTGCACGATGCAATACCGGCTCCTGCTGGCACCGCAGCCGGGCTCGGGCCCCCGCCATGCCGGCCAACACTGGGACGCTGCCCGCCCTGCGCTGCGTCTCCTGGGATTCGGGGGAGCTGGACGGACTCTGCACGGGGCTCCTGCCTGTCTGCCCGCTGCCCTCCCCCTGGCCTGTGCCCCGGCAGGCTGGGGTGCGCGGCGCCCCGCAGCCATGCACACGGGGGGTTAGCTGCGCTGGTCCTGGGCGTGCTGGGCCCACTGCCGCGCCTTCTGAAAGCCGTGCACGCCATCTAGTGCTGGTAGCTGGGCCACGGAGACAGGCCCTGTGCTGGGGCCGCGCTGCCCAGCCAGGCCGTGGCGGTCGTCTCCCTCCGCAGAGCACACCTGTGCCTGGGCCCGCCGGGAGCCACGCAGCCAGCCGGGGGGGGAGCCCACGCCCTCCTCCAGCTGCACAGGGGAAGACCTCGGGCTCTCCTGGGGCCTGGCTGCCTGCACACCCAGCGCCTCTACCCTACCAGCCAGCTTTTCCGTGGCGTCCGTGGGGCTGCGTGGTCTGGTTACAGTCCCACAGAGGCCTTGCCCTTACCAAGGGGCTCTGCTGTTCCCCTGGGCCTGTGCGCTTGCTCCAGACCTGCTGGCTGCCTGCTCCCTGCTCATGGGGACACGGAGAGCAGCCTCAGCCGTGGCAGCACAGAGGAGCTGGTGCGGAGCAGCCGCGGGGCAGTCAGGCTCGCCAGGGCGCGGGGCAGGGGCTCTGGGGCAGACGGAGCAGAGCTGGGCTCTGGATTCCTGCTGTCACTCCATCCCCATCCTGGTGGCCCCAGGCCCCTGCTGCCCCTCTCCTTCCCCTCTCCGACCCCAGCCAAGGGGTGCAGCCCGGGAAGACTGGCACCCAACGGCACGCCCAGCGCTAAGTGCTGCTACCAAGGCGTCAGGCGGGGGGAGGCCACAGGTTTGGCAGAGGGCCAGGAAACACGGCGTATGCTCCCTGCGCTCGTAGCACATCTCGCCCCGCAGCACAAGCGCGGGCGGGGAAGAGACCGGGGCGAGGACGTGAGTGCGCAGCCAGGCCAAGCCCACGACCCCTGTTGCGGGGAGGCCCGTGGGTGCGGGTAGGAAGATCCCGACTCTGCTGCGGACTCCGTGCCACTGCTGGGACGGGCAAGGGCCAGGTGCTGCGGGCGCTGCCACATGCCGCCCCGCGTGCACACGTGTGCGGGACCTGGCCCCGGTGTCGTGCATACTGCGGACATGGCGGGTGCGCCGCGCTCCCGCCCGCCCGGGTCTCGGCACAAGGCTCGCGTCTCCCCCCCGCATTTCCCACGTGCCCGGCTTCCCCCGCATGCCCCCCAAGGCTGCAGGGGGCATCCCACGGCGGGGGCCCCTGGCCTGCCCCTCGCGCGGCTCCTGCGCGCCTTTGCCCGGCACAAGCTCACTGGGGGCCGAGCGGCGTCCTGGGCCTGGCGCGGTGACCCCTCCACGAGGACGAGGACAGCCGCCCTGGGGGGCTGCTCCGTCTGGGTGTTGCCCAGCGCCCACCTGGCTCGCAGCCCTTTGCCTTTTGGGGCCTGGAGGCAGCTGGACCTTGGTCTGAGCCGGGCCCCGGGGAGGGTATGTAGGCAGGCGGCCTGCCCCGGGTCCCCATGAATCCGCGCTCTGCAGGACACGGCTGTCCAGCTCCCCGAGGGCAGCCCGAGGCCGCTGCTGCCCCCAGCCCCGGGTCTCCCCGAGAGCCAGGGGCCCCGCGGGGCTGAGTGCTGCGAAGTGCAGGCTGGGGCCGGATTCCCTTGTGGCTGGAGGCCTCCGACCCCTTGTCTGCACCCCTTGGCTGGGGTCGCACAGGAGCTGGGACCCTGTGGTAGTCCGTGCTGAGCAGCCGGAGATCACCGTTCCCCACAGCCCAGGGACACGTGCTGTGCAGCTTCGCTCTTTCCAGGCAGGTCCTGGGCCGGGAACCCGTGCCGGGAAACAAAGGCAGAGCGCCCGGCCTCCAGCCCAACATCTCCGGACTCGAGCCCCGGCGGCTGGAACAAGTCCTGTCCGCACGGCAAATACGATGGCCCCTGGCCTGCAGCGGCTGGGCAAGCAAGAGTGAAAGCCAGGCCCAGAGGACGCTGCCCCTGTGCAGTCAAACCCATGGGCCCTGCCTGAAAGCACAGGGCCTTGGCCGCCAGGCAGGCAGGACCCACGGCCTTCCTGCGGCTCCCCTTGCAGTGGGGCCAGTGCGTGTGCGCAGGGAAAGAGTCAAGGGGCCCAGGAGTGAGGGCCTGAACCAGCTAGGGCCTGTGGTGCACAGTGTAGGGCCTCTGCCTGTGGGTGCTGCAGGCCTGGGTTCAGGTCCAGGTCTTTCCCCTTTTGTGGGGAGGGGCCTGGCCTGTGCATGTCAAGGGGCCCAGGGCCGAAGAAGCTTTCAGCCTTCCCTGGTAGTCTGGTGGTAAGGGTGCTACCCTAGGTGGCAAAAGTGGTGGGTTCAAGCCCCCCTGGCTGGAGTCCTCAGGTTCCTTGCTCCTCAGTGGGTGCCTGTGGCAGGGGCTGGGTTGTATGGGCAAAGGCTGTGATGGGAGGAAGAGAAAAAGATGAGGTGGGAAAAGATTTTCTTTGCACTCTGAAAATTGCTTTTTCTGCCCCTGCACCCCAAAATCAGGCCAAAAAAAAAACCCGGCAGACACCGGGTGGCTCAGGACATATCCAATTGGGCTACAACTCCAAGTCCCCTCCGGCTTTCAACCACGATCACCTCTGAGCACCAGCTGTTAGGCAAGCGCCGGAGGGGAAGTCGGTTGCATACTAGTTGGGGCCAGAGGACTCAAGCCTTGCAGAGACTTGAACCCGCAGCCCCTGCCACCAGCAGCAGTGTCCTGAACCACCCTTCTAATGGGCCAGCCTGACTGCATCCCTTCCTGCGTGTCTCTCGACCCACCTCGCTGCCTGCCCTGCAAGCAAACAGGCACCAGGCACCCGCCCTGGGGCTTAAAACGGTCAAGCTGTCAGCACCAGGACTCAAACCCACAGCCCCACTCCACCGCCAGCCAGCTCTGGCAGACCCTCTCCTCCTGGCCACTTGACCCACCACCTGCACCATGCACTGGGCCCATTGAAAAGGAGCCCTGGGGCAGCCGGGCCCCCCCCCTTGCCTCAGGGCCCAGGGCAGTGGCACGGGGCACGGAGCCGCACTGCGCTGGGATGCCCCCCTGCGTGGCCTCTGCACGTCCCGTGTTGGCCGGGGCGGTGGGCTTCACTGCGAGCGGGGCTCCTCCTGTCC